TTATTAAAAATAATATATAAATTATATATTCTCTTATTATTTTTTTAAAAATGAAAGTCATTAAACTTTTTCACAAATATAACTTATATGGATTAATATCCTCATTTAAGTTAATTATCGGATATATTTAACATTTTTATCATAAACATGTAAAATAAAGATTATGAATGTTTCTGTTTAAGAATATGGAGAAACATTCTATTTAAAAAATATAAACATTCTATTGACAACAACAACAACATAGCCTTTAGTTCCAAGCAAGTCGGGGTAGGCTAGAGATGAAATCCAAGAGAAACACAAAAAGACTCGAACCGAAAGGAAGAGATCGAAAAAAAAAAACGAGAGAGAGAGAGAAAGGAGCAAAAGTCACGGTTCTGGCACGTTGATAGCAAGCATCCAAGCGCTCCTATCCACCGCTAAATCCTTAGAGATATTCCAATCTTTAAGGTCTCTCTTAACCGACTCTTCTCAAGTGAGTTTAGGCCAACCTCTACCTCTCTTAACATCCTCGACCCGCTGTAGAACTCCCCTACGCACCGGTGCATCAGGAGGCCTCCGTTGGACATGTCCGAACCACCTCAGCCGATGTTGAACCAATTTCTCCTCAATTGGAGCCACCCCGACCCTATCTCGAATATCCTCATTCCGGATTCTATCCCTTCTTGTGTGCCCGCAGAACCAACGCAACATACGCATCTCTGCTACACTTAGTTGTTGGACATGTTGCCTTTTTGTAGGCCAACATTCAGCACCGTATAGCATCGCCGGGCGAATCGCCGTCCTATAGAACTTACCTTTTAGCCTTTGTGGCACCCTCTTATCACAGAGAACGCCCGACGCCTGACGCCATTTCAACCAACCGGCTGCAATTCTATGCCTAACATCAGCATCAATGCCGCCATCCTTTTGTAGCATCGATCCCAAATACCGGAAAGTCTCCTTCTTGGCCACCACTTGCCCGTCAAGGGTAACGTCACCATCATCATGTGAAGCCATGCTGAAAGCGCACGTCATGTACTCGGTCTTCGTCCTACTAAGTCTGAAGCCTTTCGACTCTAACGCGTCCTTCCACAGCTCCAACTTCCTATTTACCCCTGCTCTACTCTCGTCAACTAGCACCACATCATCAGCAAAGAGCATACACCAAGGGATATCACCTTGTATGTCCCTTGTGACCTCATCCATCACCAAGGCAAATAGATAAGGGCTCAATGCTGACCCCTGGTGTAGTCCTATTTTAATTGGGAAGTCGCTGGTGTCGCCCCCACATGTTCAGACACACGTCATCGCATCCTTGTACATATCCTTGATGAGGGTAATGTACTTAGATGGGACTTTGTGCTTTTCTAAGGCCCACCACATGACATTTCTCGGTACTCTGTCATAAGCCTTCTCAAGGTCGATAAAGACCATGTGCAAGTCCTTCTTTTGGTTCCTATATCTCTCCGTCAACTGACGTATTAGGAAAATCGCCTCCATGGTCGACCTTCCAGGCATGAACCCAAATTGGTTTTGGGTCACACTCGTCACTCGTCGTAGGCGATGCTCGATAACCCTCTCCCAGAGCTTCATCGTATGGCTCATCAACTTAATCCCACGATAGTTACCACAGCTTTGGACATCTCCCTTGTTCTTGAAGATCGGTACTAAAGTACTTCTCCTCCATTCATCAGGCATCTTGTTTGACAGGAAAATGAGGTTAAAAAGTTTAGTTAGCCATGCTAACGCTCTGGCGCCCAAGTATCTCCACACCTCAATGGGGATACCATCAGGGCCCATTGCTTTACCTCCCTTCATCCTCTTCATAGCCTCTCCAATCTCTGCCTCTCGAATTCTTCTCAGCACGCGTCTTTTGGTATCCTCAAATGAGTCATCCAACTCCAGGGTAGGACCCTCACTCTCCCCATTAAACAATTTGTCGAAGTACTCTCGTCATCTGTCTTTGATCTCCCCATCCTTCACCAGTGACCGATCCGACCCATCCTTAATGCATTTGATTTGGTTGATGTCCCTTGTCTTCCTCTCCCGAATCTTAGCCATCCTATAAATGTCCTTCTCCCCCTCCTTCGTGCCTAGGCGCTGATAAAGGTCATCATAGGCCTGACCCTTCGCCACACTCACGGCATGCTTTGCATCCCTTCTCGCTATTTTATAGCTCTCAATGTTAGTTTCACTCTTGTCAAGGTGGAGGCGCTTGAAACACTCCTTCTTCTCCTGAATAGCCCTTTGCACCTCGTCATTCCACCACCAAGAGTCCTTCGCTTCCTGCTTGCCTCCCCTACTCACACCAAGGACTTCTGCAGCCACCTTCCGTACACATGTTGCCATCTTTAGTCACATGTCCTCTGCATCTTCTCCTTCTTCCCAAGGCCCCTCACCTAGCATCCTATCCCTAAACGTCTGCGTCGCTTCCCCTTTAAGCTTCCACCACTTCGTTCTCACGGTCTTGGCACATTTGTTCCGGTGGACACGTGTTCGGGATCAAAAATCCGCCACCACCAGCTTATGCTGGGGGACAACACACTCCCCAGGTATCACCTTACAATCTACACAAGCGCTTCTATCCTCCCTCCTTGCAAGGATAAAGTCGATCTGACTTGAGTGTCGTCCACTATGGAAGGTCACCAGGTGAGATTCCCTCTTCCTAAAGAGGGTGTTCGATCTGACTTGAGTGTCGTTCACTATTGAGAAAGAATAAAATTCAGACCTTAAAATGAACAATTTTCTAAAAAAAATGAGTCTTGTAATGGAATTTATTCCTTTAAGAATATGAAGTATTCATTTTTCGTTCATAAAGGACTAGTACAACACTCGTAATTACACGATTGTTAGTTAATTTCTATTTTCACTGAAATTTTTAGAACATGTAAGAGTGAAGTGTTCCTTTATTTAAATTTCAAATATTTTTTAAAAAAATATTATATTTATATTTAATTGATTGTTTTACTTGTATGATTTGCCCGTCATATATTATAATAACTTTTATCATCCACGTGTAATGTGTTTATAGATGACTTATTTAATTCGTGTATAGTTGTATTAATTTTAATTGGTATTTTTAGGTGATTTAATTTTATAACAAAAATATTAACTTATTTTATATGTGCAATATGAATATCCAATCGAAACTAGTTAAAAGATGATTCATATAAAAATGTTATACATGACTATTTGATAACAAACATAAAAGTTATTAACTTTCAAAAATTTTTATAATCTAAGTAAATAAAATATTTTATAATGTGAAAGTCGTAGTATGTATTGATGGAGTCCAAATGGACATGTGTATTATATGATGCTGATAAAAAATCCATAACTATGTTTAAAAATTAAAGATAAAGGAAGTCATTTTAAAATCATTCTTACAAACTTAGATTATTATTCATATATACAATGACACTTATCTTGATAGCATTACAATAATTTTTTATTATATAATAAGTTTTTTGAGTTACATTATATAACAATTTAATAGCTAAATTTATTTAAGTAATAAATAATTTTATTATTTGTCACTTAGTATTTTTATTATATTATTTCATTACAAATTCAAATACACATATTAATTTATATATTTGTAGTTTAAGTTAGTTGAGTGTTTTATAATTTTCAAAGTCAATGAATGTGGTATGTAAAAGACCTCGGATCGCCTCGGTTCGACCTGGATTACCTTTCTTGCCGGTTGATTACTTTCAATACCTGCACAAACTCAACGCTAGAGAGATTTTACAGCGTAGAGTTTTTGATGCTTAAGTCAAAACGTGTAAGAATACGATGAACAATTAAAACAAACACTGTACGTATGTAGAGCGTGTAGAAAATGTAATGTCTCAATGGATATACCTCAACCATTTATATAGGAGTGTGTTACCTTATTGTCCAAGACTGCCGAGATGTGCTTCCCAAACTGCCTGAACTGCTCGTCTGTACTGTCAAATTGTTCAATTTTGTTAGGCTACGTAGCCCTATCCACTTATGGTTCTTATCTTAATAATATTCCTTCTTATCCATTAGTTTGCTTTATTAGACAATCCAATTGTGCGACTAACTCAAATCACCTCGAGGTAGAGTGCTACGTATATTGAGCTCGTGTGCCTTGCTCATCTGGTCGATTCATCAGCTGGCCATGCCTTCAAGTCGAGTTTCAAATATCTTCACCTTTCTGTCTCATAGTTTATTGCATAATTTGTTCTGCACTTTATCAATTATCTTCATATTATTGTCGCATAAGCTTTTTTTCGCGCTTTATCAATTATTTTCACCTATCTGTTGCATAAATATTTCGCACTTTATCAATTATTTACGTCCGTCTGTCGCATGGTTCGTCGCATAATTTGTTTAATACTTTATCAATTATTTTTCGTTTGTTTGTCGCAAAGTTTATCACACTTTATTAATTATATTCGTTTGTTTGTCGCATAATTTTTTTCGCATTTAGTGGGGTGAAAAAATTTAAGTTATTAATTGGCGGTATGAATAACCTAACCCGTCTTTAAATCTTTATACATGGTGTATAACCTCTTAAATGGAGGGTAAAAATAGCTTCCTCTAATATCTTTATACATGGTGTATAACCTCTTAAATGGAGTAAGGTGGTAAAAAGAACTTTATTTTTCATTATGCACAAATTTTGTAGTTAGACTGACTAACAATTAGACGAGTTGACAGATCATATTTTTTAAAAAAATTACACGCCTGTGCTGTGAAAATGGCTTTATTGTTTTCTTTTAACTATGACATTTTAATACGAAAATATACATATTTATTAAAAAAAAATATAATTTCTTAATGGTTAGGCTGTGATCAATAACTCTATATTTAATGGTGAGAAACATCACAAGAGCCACAAAGCTCTTGGCAAGGTTAAAAAATAAAACTTAAGATTAAGATTATCTATCCTTTCATTTGATACCATTTCATTCTTTTACTTATTCCAAACATTGAGAGGTTCATTGTAAATTGGTCTCCCTTTCCCTATACTACGAACCCTACTAAGAAAGTTGTTATAAATGAAGCAGAACTGAACATGCATTTAACTAGGACGAGTTGGCAAAACAAATCTCCACATTTAAAAAGTAGCTACAATTTAACAATGACAACTCGAGATTTAGCCTATTTTCTGGAGGAAGAGCATAATCTTCGTACTTTGTAATTTTTTTCTTACTACAAACTATACAATATACATTGCTCCTCTTTAAAGAGGTTTCTTTTGATACATCATCTTTTAACTATATTATTGAACCTCTTGGGTTGGAGAGCAGTCGACATAACCTGTAGCCGTTTTGTGATCTCAGTAAAAGAAGGCCTTTCAGCTGGATCATGTGACCAGCATTCCTCCATCAACTTTCTCCACCGAGAATCACAACGTTCGGGAATTGCTGGCCTCAGCGTGTTATTTACAATTCCACCTTCATTCGTAAGATAACAAATATAATTGAGAAAGTACAAAATGATGTTTAATTATCATCTTCAAAAGCATACCTATGATGGCACCACAATGCATATCAATATACGGCTCTTCTCCAGTCAAAATCTCCCACATGGCAATACCAAAAGAGAAAACGTCTACCTGCAGAGATTTTTTATTGTATATTACACAAAGTTTGCGAATGATGTCCATCATCTCAAGTTTTTATCATAAAGAGTTGATTCTCTAACTTTTTCAGAAACACGACTACTGTTTCCGTTTAAAAGCTCCGGAGCCATCCAAGGAAGTGTTCCTCGAACGCCACCTGACACAAGTGTATTCTGTTTGATTCTTGATAATCCAAAATCAGTGACCTGAGATATAAAACAACATATATTCAATCTTTTGTATTTTTCACACTCCCATGAGTTTGCGGATTTTCTAATCATTCCTGATTTTGAGACTATAAATATACAAGATATATATTTGAAGAATTCCCACTGTCAGCAATAATCCATATAGCGAAGCAAACCTTTATGTAAAGAAAATAACTTTTTTGCAATAGATCACCTTGCAGACAGGCCGCTGAGAATCGCCCAAGTTAACTAGCAAATTGTCACATTTTAAATCAAAATGGACGATATTTTTCAAATGCAAGTACTCCATGCCAAAAGATGCATCTAGTGCAATTATAACCTTTTTACGCCGATCTAGTGCTCTGCAATGGAATTTGAATAAAGTCAAAGGCTTTCGAGGATCATTTTCTGAACACACAGTAAATGATAGAAAATAAAAAAGGAGAAAAAAATAATTCACCTATCCTTCCTCGTGAGAACATGTCTCAATGACCCATTAGACATGTACTCAGACACGGTGGCCAGTGTACCGCCAGGCCCATCAGGAACCACGCCATAAAATGCTACTATATTAGGATGGTGAAGTCTGGAAAGAATCTTAGCCTCCCTCCAAAAATCTTTGGTCTGTGGGAAATTAGAACTATATTTATATACGTGAATGATCTTTGACTCGATGTAGAATTCTGAGGCAAAGAAATATGATAGCAGTCTTTTTTTTTTCATCAAACATGTGATGAAAAAACAAAATATGTAATATGGATATCAAAATTTTCAACTTTTCATCTCACATGCGAAATTTTTATTAAAAAGTACATCATTCACTCGTCTCAATTTTTCTCAACTCAATTTTAACAATATAAATTGTAAAATAAAACGAAAGCATGTCAAATCACATTTTCTTGATTTGGCTAGGGACAGACCAGTCTTTCTTGTTCAGAAGATCCTCCGGCAAAACAACTCTTTTTTATTCTCTTTATAGCAACATCTGTACCCCTCCACTTTCCATGATATACTGTCCCAAAGGTCCCGGACCCTAGCTCTTGTAGTTCTTCAACATCAGCATATTTAATGATCTGTACAGGTATGAGTATATGGTTGGGACTTGCTATGATCGAGTTTCATAACAAGAAAAAGAAGTATTTAGTCTAGCATTGAAAAAAACATATTTAACAACACGTGAAGCCGTAAAATCTTTTAATAGCGTTGTTTAATAAAATAAAAATATAATTATGTACATACGCATGTAAATATTTTTGTCTACACTGAAATCCAGACATAAAAAACTCTTTTGAAAGGAAAACAACACAAACAATACGGTTCCATTTACTTTAATTCGGTCATGTAGTAATTTAGTCCACATGGAAATGAAGCGACAAATGTAATGAAGATTTTGCCATATTTAAGAAATGGAATATGATATTATATTTAAAGTAAACCTGCAAACCATATATGCTGGCTTCCATTTCAATAATTGCAGCATCACTTATGGGTTCATCCTTGTTGTCAATGTCAGCTCCATCATCCTACATAACAGGCACACAAAAATCAATGTCCTCTTAAATTAGTTCTTCATATTGAAAACTAGGAGTATGAAGGATGTCATACATCATCTTCCGATGCATAGTTAACACTTTCAGTTTCTTCACTCTGTTCATCTACAAAAGCCTTTTCTGGTTCAGAAATTTCTTGAACATTATCTGATGACTTAGAACTGACAGAAGTAGCACTTATAATTTTCAATTCCTCACGAGAATTTCTGTCGGGTTTCTCTTTCGTCATACTTTCATCAGAGACTTCACCCAAAGCATCATTTATGGTTGTTTCTGGCAAACCAGATTCATTTTCAGGTAATTGAACCAAATCTATGAAGTTTGATTGGTCGTTATTTTCTTTTCTCACAAAATGAGGCTCAAGCACATGACATCCAAAAAAGCTTGTATTACCATCGATGGCATTATGACCATTTTGGTTCGGCTCATTCTCAGCTCTCTGGCTCCTGATGAGAAAATTTGGTTTGTTTGAGCTTATTTTATAATTTTCAGATAGCTCTTTCCAGACGTCTGATGGATTTTCTACAGAACTACACAATGAAGACGAAGAAGAAAGCTTGGCCCCAATCAACTGCGGCTCTGATTTCGGAACATGAACGGACAATATCAAATCCGGTTGACATATTATTTGGGGCAAATTCGACTTTTTCTCCAAAAAATCAGAATTTGAGGCATGCTCATTGGCAACAGCACCGAGTTTCACATCCTGTTCAAAATAAATTTCATTATTCTCCAACGTTAGATATTTCTCGAATGCCGCGCGTTGATCAACTACTACTCCGTGAGATGAACTGGACACATCAATGAATGGCGAATTTCCAACAGCAAATGGCTGTTCCAAAGTGAAACTCCTCTCATCATCGGTTAATGTACATTTAGAATGAAAATCAGAGACAGGAGAAAAACTAAACATATCTGCAGGAGGAACTAACTTCTCGGGATTTACAAAACCTCTCCTCTCATCTGCATAACCATTTACACCACCATACACCAAAGAAGACAGAAATTCGCTACTCGCCACATTAAATCGAGACCCCACAACAGATGGCGAGGAGTGCGATTGAGACTGGCAATTAATTTGATATCCATAAGGACACGCAACATTTTCGTATGTCCTCACATAAGAACTCTTCGCATCCTTAAACTGAGAGGGAGATGACGGAGGAGAAGAGCCTGGGTCCACAAACATCAGCTTCAGATTTTCCAAGTGACGAAATGCATTGGCAGGATCTTTTGGGCTCTCGTCCGCATTATTAT